TTTGATACCAGGATTAAAATTTTCAGATCTGACAATGCAAAAGAATATTTTGAGAAGAACTTATCCTCCTATCTCTCTGACATGGGGGTTATTCATCAAAGTTTCTGTGTTAGAACCCCTGAACAGAATGGAGTTGCTGAAAGGAAAAATAGGCATATTTTTGAAGTTGCAAGGAGTCTTTTGTTTGCCTCACATGTTCCTACAAGATTTTGGGGTGATGCTGTTCTCACTGCTACTTACCTCATAAACCGTATGCCATCCAGGGTTTTAGGGTTTAAATTCCCCTTCAGTCTTCTTCACCCAGACAATGACCTTTTTCCTATTCCTCTTCGTGTGTTTGGCTGCACCTGTTATGTACACATTCCAAGTGCCCAGAGACATAAATTTGAACCAAAAGCCCACAAGTGTATATTCCTTGGTTATTCCCCCACACAGAAGGATTACTGTTGTATTGATCCAAAGACTGGCACTCGATATGTCTCAATGGATGTCACCTTTGATGAACTTTCTCCCTTTTATGGTTCCTCTCTAGAAGGACATTGTCCACAGGGGGAGAGTTTATCACAAGTGTTTTCTCTTCTTCTCCCTGTCCCAGTTGAGTCTCTTGATGAACCTGTGTCCTCTTCAAATGAATCAAGGGAGGATCAGTCACTCCATTCTCCTTATCCTAGTGTTCTTCTCTCTTTACCTCCTCGTCCTACCCACAATCCCAAGGTGTATGAAAGGCAAAGATCCAGGAATGAGCAGGTTGTTTCCCTTACAACAAATGAGCATCATGCACTTCCAGTCACAGATGAGACAACATGTACTGTTTCAACCCCTTTAGAGCCATCTTTCCCGGATCTTGATGTTCCCATTGCTGTTAGGAAAGGAAAACGGAAGTGCACTGCACACTACATTTCCAAACACCTTTCTTATGGTCTGCTTTCTCCTTCATACTTTTCATATCTCTCTTCAATTGCTTCTAATCCTATTCCCAAGTCTGTGTCAAAAGCTCTTGAGATTCCAGAATGGAGGGATGCCATGAAATCTGAAATGGATGCCCTACACAAGAATGACACTTGGGAAGTGGTGGATTTGCCTGAAGGGAAGGATCCGGTTGGTTGCAAGTGGGTCTTTTCCATTAAATACCGGGCTGATGGGACCATTGAGAGGTACAAGGCCAGGCTAGTTGCAAAAGGCTACACACAGACGTATGGTATTGATTATCTGGAGACCTTTGCACCTATTGCTAAGATGACATCTGTGAGGGTTCTCTTATCTCTAGCAGCTCACTTTGACTGGCCCCTTTATCAATTGGATGTAAAGAATGCATTTCTGAATGGTGACTTAGATGAGGAGGTTTATATGTCTCTCCCTCCAGGAATGTATGGAAGTGATATGCAAGGAAAAGTATGCAGATTGAAAAAATCCCTTTATGGCCTCAAACAGTCTCCTAGAGCATGGTTTGAGAGATTTAGAACAGCAATTGTTAACTTCGGCTATGTTCAGACACAGTCTCATCATACTCTTTTTGTGAAGAGAAGTGGATCTCTGGCAGTATATCTCATTGTGTATGTTGACGATATTATTGTGACTGGTAATGATGCTTCAGGAATTCATGCTCTCAAGTCTTTCCTCCGTACAGAATTTGAGATTAAGGACATGAGGGAGTTGAGATACTTCCTTGGCATAGAAGTTGCTAGATCCAAGGATGGGATCCTTATCTCCCAAAGGAAGTATGTCCTTGACTTGCTTTCTAAAACTGGGAAGATGGGTGCTAGACCAGCTGCTACTCCTATTGATATGAGTCACAAACTTTCCGCTTCAGATGGGACGTTGTTAGAAGACAAAGGGGTCTTTCAGAGACTTCTTGGGAAACTCCTGTACCTATGCATGACTCGGCTAGATATTGCATATGTTGTCAGTTGTATTAGCCAGTTCATGCATGCTCCCAGAGATACTCATATGGTGGCCGCTGAACGAATTCTGTGTTATTTGAAAGGCTCTCCGGGAAAGGGAATTCTGTTTACCAAGCATGGTCATATGAAACTTGAAGCCTATACTGATGTTGACTGGGCTGGAAACATTGATGACAGAAGATCTACTTTAGGGTATTGCAGTTTGGTGGCTGGTAATGTTGTTTCTTGGAGGAGCAAGAAACAATCAGTTGTGGCTCGATCCTCAGCAGAAGCAGAATACAGGGCCATGGCACATGGAGTCTCTGAACTGTTGTGGCAAAAGGGTACACCCAGTCTTACGGCATTGATTACCAGGAAATGTTTGCTTCAGTAGCCAAGATGAATTCAATTCAAGTTATCATGTCTCTTGTTGCCCACTATTCTTGGCCCTTGTATCAAATGGATGTTAAGAATGCCTTCCTTAATGGAGACCTTTAGGAAGAAGTTTACGTGGAACTTCCTCCAGGAGTGAAGGAAAGGTTTGTTGTTTGAAGAAATCCCTTTATGGCCTTAAACAATCTCCTCGATCTTGGTTTGATAGATTCAGGAAAGTTGTCTTAAATTTGGCTTCTCACAATCACAAGCTGACCTCAATCCCTAGGAAATAACTATGTTGATAGTATATGTCAATGATATTGTTATCACAGGGGATGATATCTCTGGGATTGCTGAACTGAAGTATTTCCTTGCTACTAAATTCGAAATTAAGGATCTCGGAAATCTCCAATATTTCCTAGGGATTGAGGTAGCAAGGTCAAAGAGGGGCATTGTATTTCTCAGAGGAAATATGTTCTTGATTTACTTCAGGAGGTAAGAAAATTGGATTGTAAACCAGATAAAACTCCAATTGATCCCAATCATAAGTTAGGAGTTGATGATGGAGATGTCCTTCCTGATAAAGGTGTGTATCAGAGACTTGTCGGTTGCCTTCTCTGACTAGACCAAATATATCATATGCTGTAAGTGTGGTCAGTCAATACATGCACAAGCCTAGATCATCTCATATGCAAGCAGTGAATAGAATATTTTCCTATTTGAAGGGATGTTGTATTCTAATCATGGGCATCTAAAGGTAGGGGCCTATTCTGATGTTGACTGGGCAGGTTCTATTGATGGTAGGCAGTCTACTTCTAGCTATTGTACTTTGGCGAGTGGTAATATGTTGTATCTTGGAGAAGCAAGAAGCAATCAGTTGTGACTCGTACAAAGCTATGGCACATGGAGTCTCAGAATTATTGTGGTTGAAGAACTTGTTGATAGAAATGAGAGTGCAAATTGATACTCCAATGATATTATATTGTGACAATCAAGCTTCCATAAACATAGCCCACAACCCTGTTCAACATGATCGTACAAAGTATATAGAGTTTGATCGACATTTCATTAGAGAAAGAGTTGCCAATGGAGAGATTTGTCTACCTTATGTGAGGTCTGAAGACCAGTTGGCCGATTGTCTTACTAAAGGTGTTCCGAAATCAAAGCTCAACAAAAATTTGAACAAGTTGGGCATGATAAATATCTATGCTCAGCTTGAGGGGGAGTTTTAAGAGAGTGAGGGCATTTCTGTCCTTTTACGAATATTGTATTTGAGTGCCTATTCAAGGGCACCTTTGTAATTTTGCTTGTGAAGAAAAATGAAAAGTTTCTTGGTGTGAACAGTGCCACACCAAGCATTCTCGACACTTCCTCCTCTTCTTCTTCTTCTTCAACATCTCTAAACCTTACAACTACCCCTCTATTTCCATCAGTAGTTTCATGGTGCTTGAATAGTGTTCAGCTTATCTGAAAAAAAAAGAGTTGTGCCTAGTTTAATGCAATAGTCTCCAGTCTCTAACCACATCAAATTGTAGCTTGCTTTTTTCTTGTGTAGAACATTTCTAAACATTTACCCTTTCCTGTTAAAATCCCTGGAAATTATCTTTGTTGCTGCATATTAACTTATAATGATAGGAATGTTTGATTCTTGTAATGTTCTAGTACAATTAAAATTGAACTAGAAAGTTTTAGTCTTTTATTTCAAAGCTTTCTTCTGTATTGGTTTTCTTGAGTTGGTTTGGTTATGAAAAGGCATTGCAACACATCAAATTCCATAAGATTATTATTTTCATTAGTTGAAATTAGGGTTTTAGATGCTCTGTAATGGCACTACAACTAAGCTAATTATTTTGAAGGGAGAATTTATATAGAAGAGGCCTATATGTAGGACCTATCAAACAGGACCCTGTCTTTAAACTTATTGTTATAGTGCTCCTATCAACATGACTATTATTGTCCTGGGTTTCTTTTTCCTTAATTTCGACGAACATTACATTTATACTCATGCAGTTTTTGCAATTGCTATTTCATATGCTAGAAACCTATTTTCTTAAAATAGAAATGGGAGAAGGATTTTGCTTTGTCTCAACCAAGTATTTAATAACTTCCATTTGATCTTTGCAAACTTCCTTTTTTAATGCAGCATCTATAGCTAATCCATTCATTGGATCGTACTTATATCGCAATCCTGCATATAAATATACTGGAAACATCTTCTCACTAGAAGACTTTCTGGCATTTGCAAAGGGCAAACCACTTTCTGTCTTGATCAGCATAGAGGTCAGTTCATATGTTACAATCTTTTTTAATTGTTTGTTTTTGGATGATAGTTATTGCATAAGAGAGGTACCTATGCTGAATTTAGACACATGTAGGTTGTCTTGACTGAAGGTTCAAGGAGAAAACATTAATTAATTTTTGTTCTCTTTTTTCCTTTGCTTTTTTTTTTGGGGGGGGGTGTCAAATAGTCTCAAGATAACCCCCAAACCGTAGTGATAGCAGGATTTGATCCCAAGTCTCTACTACAACCAGCCAGAGATTTTACCAACTGAGCTGGTACTGTCCTATCCAATTAGTTACAATCATTCAATTAGGTCAATTTTAAATAACCACCCCTTCCCACCCCATTCCCCACCCTCGAGAAAAAAAAAAGGCTAAAAAGGACTTTAAATAAAGAAACAAAGACGGGTGACTTGATAAAATCAGTCACTTTCACAAAATAATATCCAAATCTATGAGCAGGAAAATAATCAAGTTTTTTCAGACAAAATTGCCTCTCAAGACTGTCAGCATAGATAGTTGCGTATTTTTTTATTCTCTTCTCTTCTCTCTCTCAAAGACACACTACAGAGAAGAAATGGCCAGAGAAGGTGGCAGACTGGCATCAAAGAACGACTTTCAGCCACATCTGGTGGAGCAGGTACTGGGAATTGATTACTGCATCACCAACCCTCATTGGTGATTTGGTGTGTAGACCCTCCTTCAACAGCCTCTTATCTTGCATATTTTTGTCATTTTTGTTTTTTCTGAAGTTGATTGAGACATAAAGAATCTGTTCAGCTCCCAACCTAATCCACCCATTCTAATCCAATCAGTGGGTGGGTGAGAGAGAGAGAGAGTGGCAGAATTTGGAAAGGATCCAACAAGTTACAAGTACCTAACACCCAAGCCAACTAACCAACTTAAACTTGACCCGACCCAAATGGGTTGTCAACCCATATGCAATCCACCAAGTAGATGAGTTAAAGTGGATGGGTTACCTGTATTTGGTCAGAAATTGTCACGCCTAAATGCAACCAAGAATTTTACAAAAAACAAAATCTAAATTCATGTTATGGGTGAATATGGATAGGGCTCAGCCAACTAAAAAACAGGTGCTCTCCTTGAGGCATACCTAAATGCAACCTTCCTCATTTATATCCTTCTTGGAGTTGTCATCATTTTCAACTGAATCATGACATTTGTTTGCCTTCTCTGCAGAATGCAACCTATCTTGCAAAGAGTCTGGGCTTAAGCATTACTGATGCAGTGATTGATGCTTTAAACCATTCTGGCTATAACCAAACCAAACAGAAGGTTATGATCCAGTCCAGTAACAGCTCCGTTTTAATCAAATTCAAGGAGAAAACCAATTACCAGTTGGTATACAAAGTTGATGAAGATATCCGTGATGCTGATGACTCATCAATCATGGACATCAAACAATTTGCTCATTCTGTGGCAATTACAAAGAATTCTGTGTTTCCTACGAATAAGCTCTTCCTCACTGGTGCTACCAACATTGTTTCAAAGCTACACTCATCAAACCTAACTGTCTATGTACATGTATTCCATAATGAATATTTATCTCAAGCATGGGACTTCTGGTCAGACCCAAATTTTGAGATCAATAATTTTGTCATGGGAGCTAGGATCGATGGAATCATCACCGACTTTCCAGGGACAGCTAATGCATACAGAAGTAAGTTCTGAACCTACTCAATGGAGATGTTATTTGTTTTGTTTCTGCAACAAATGCAATGCTTCACCACCTTCCAGTAGTGTCTGGGGGAAGAAAAGTAAATAGGATTTCTTTTCTGCAATTGCTACAAGAAGTCTTGAAGACAGTCGAAATCCATTTTAAGAAAATTGTTCCTTCTTCTGCGTCCTGCTATTGTACTCCATCTTATAATTCAACAATTTCAATATTAAGTTAATATGGTGTTGATGCTTCATATTAAATTGTTAATGCAGATAACCGATGTTTGAAGATGGGCAACAGAAAACCAAGATATATGAATCCTGTTCTACCTAACGGTCTCCTGTCACTTGGGAATCCTGCACTTTTACCTTCTGTTGAGGCTCCAAACCCCGTCCTGACAGAATCCGATGTGGCAGAGCCACCATTACCTTCAGTTACAAAGAACACATCAACCAGTGGGAGTGGGACATTTGCATCTCCTCCAACCTCACCGAAGTCAAGCGGACAGACAGAGAGTACTACCTACTTATTATCATCTTTGGGCATTCTCCTCACATCTCTTCTGCTTTTCTGAAACCAGTAACCTATTACTCTGCCTTATCACCTAAAATATCCATGCCAATACTCCCTGCAACTCCTCCATTCTCCAGATACCACAATAAGGTTTCCTTATATAACCGTTAAATGTATTCTTGTATTGCTATCTCGCTGTTTCAGATTGTAGGTGGTTTGGGGTTGACGCGATTAGTCACTTTTAAAATGTAGTTTTTCTTATTATTACTTTTTTTGGGAATATGAACGCCTGTAAACATTTATGTTACATATTTGAATTGCATTTCTTGTATTTCATTGTAAAATTGTTGATTGTTTGATTTCTCGTGCTATAGAACTGGTGTTAGTAGAACCCGGATCTCCTGAAAGAAAAAACACTGAAAACACAATCTCCCGTGGGGATAAGTTTATTGGGGAGTTTGACATCTGAAAACCAAATCCTCTGCGAGGTTAAGGACAAAATGGTAAGAAACAACTCAACTTCCAAGTATGCATTTCCTCTTTGAGCCAAGGATCATAAATCCATTACCTCTCTGACTCTCTACACCTCCACTTTCCTTCATTTGGATGATACATACGTACCACTTATGTCCTGCCAACAATGGAGTATTCAACATTGATGAATAGTGTGAGTTGTGACAGAACACAGGCTCCCGTGAAGGAATCCTTGGGAGATAATATCCCAAACACAAATCAGGAGGAAACCATCGAATGAGAGAACATAATGCGAATCGAAAGTGATGATTTTCCTCTTCTTCAATATTACCAAGTACCAACTACATAATGCTACAATATGACTATTAACCAAAGAGGGAAAGCATCTGTGAGCTTTCATGCTTGAGAAAGCAACTTACTTCCACACAATAAAGCATGTGTTTGGTTCAGTGGGCATTTATGAATGTGCTGTTTATGTACTTTTTCATATTAAACATTTATTTTTACTTTTTCACATTAAAGTTTTCTGTTTTTATTGTTTGGTTGGGCATACATTTTTTACTTTCCACTTTAAATTAGTACTCATTAAAGTGGGTCACATCAACATTTGATTTCAAGAAACGCTAGGTGTTGAGGGAAACAAGAATTTGACGTTTCCCCAAATTCCCCATATACAGAAATAAAAACATTTCAGTTTTCTACTATTTATTTGATAAACATTAAAACCAAGCAGTTTCAGATTGTTTCATATATAATAAATGCCAATGCCTATGTGGTGCTGATGTGGTGGTGTTTTTTCGTTTTCTTTTTCTGTCTTCTTTCTAGGACAACTTTAATAAGTTTAAAAAAGTCTGAGAGGAGAAGCTCTGAGGATGATTAAAAATTAAAATTTGCATAGCCAATTCAGAGAAATTTTCAGAAAGTTATGAAGGTAGCTTGCGTAATGCACTGCATTTAATTTAGTACTACCAACACTTCAATTATAGTCGATAAACTCCGCAAGCTATTCAAGTTTCAGGAGAATCAACTCAGCAATCCAACGTGCAGACAATAGCTGCCAGGTACAGCCTAAATTAAAGACTAACCTAGCAGGCTATTACAGTATTCTGCTCTAAATGGATTGAAAAATGGAAATAATCAAATGAGGAAATGTAGCAGCACCGCATTTTCTGGAAAGGTAACTCAAGGGGTATATTTAAACTAGCGAGGGCCTATACAATGCATGGGATAGGGCACCCTTCCTTGTCCCTTGCCCCTCTATGTCAAGACACTCTACTCCATTTCTCGCCCTGAACTCACCATTGGGGTCAGGGTGAGGCACCCATTCCCTGTCAGGGATGAAGAATCTCCAAATTTTCCCTACTCTGAGGTAATCACCTAAAAAAATATAATTTGTAAATGATTTACAAATAGGATTATGAGAATTTGGGGGTATTTTAGGAATTAGATTATGACAATTTGGGTATTTTCTAATGAAATTATGGAATCCTAGAATTATAAGAATATGAGGAAAACTTAAAGATATTTTAAAAATCAATATTAAATCTATAGATATTTTACTAATTTACCATCGGGTTCAGGGAATATATGCAAATCCCATCCCTATTTTGGGGCAAAAATATTTTCCCTATCCCCACCCCATCTTTGCTCCATCCTTGTTTAAGATTTGAGAAAACTTGTTGCCCCAGTTTTATAGGGAAAATTGCCATCCCTACAATTTTAATAATTTTCTATAACTAATTAACTAGCAGTAATTAAATAAAAATAAATTACAACATTTTATGATAATTTCCAAAAAAATTATTGAAATTGCTATTGATTAGAAGTTATGTATAGCAAATTAATTATTTACAATAATAATAAATTAATGTAAATTATTTACTTTTTAATCCTAAATTATTTACTATTAATCAAAGTAAGTGTAATTAGTAAAATAATGTAATTATAGTAAATTAATTATTTTAAGTTAAAAGTGAACCATTTGTTATTAATTAATGTAAAACCAGGTATGGTCAAAGTTAACCAAGTGGTCTAGATTGGTGTGGATAGACTCTATAATTTTCCTAAATCATTTAATAATTATTTATTGAAATAATAATAATGGATTGTTATTTAAATAATTATGAAACAAATTCTGATAGATTAATTTCCTAATGTTTTCCTAAATTATTAAATAATTATTTAGTTGAATAATAATAATAATAATGGATTATTATTTAAATAGTTTTGGAGAATATTCTTTCATAGATCAATTTCTTAATTTTTAATTACTTATTTAAAAAATAATTATGGATTATTAGTTAAATAGTTTCCCTAAATTTTTTGATAATTGGTAACTATAATTATTGATTTTATAAAAATTAGTAAATTACATAAACTAGTAAAATTAGTAATATCTTTTATCAATAAATTATTATTGTAAAAAATTAATGAAAATTTATTAAATTACAATGATTAATGTAAATTACTCTAAATGTTGAAATTTTGAACACTCATTAATAAGCAAAAACTATTAAATAATGGATTGTTTATTAATTTTGGTAGATTATTAAATTATTTAACATTTCTTAAATAATGGATTATTTCTGAAATAATTTTGGTATAATATTTTTCAGAATTTTTTAATAATTTTCATAACTAATGGATTATTATTTAAGAATAGATTATTTAACAATAATCAAAGATGTCATAAATATATGGAAAACATCGAATTCCCCTTGTTCCCTTCTCTTTGCTTAAAATTATGCCTATAGATTAAATATTGTTTGATTTGGAAAATCAAATCTTAATAAATTATGGCCCTATTTTTATGGAAAAGTGGAAAGAATAGGGGGAATTAGAGATAGAAGTAGAGGATAAAATATATATTGAACTAATTAAGGGGAGACCTTAGGTTGTTATAGAAAGTGAGAGACATGAGTTTCGGGGGAGAGAGAGAGTCCGATGGAAAGGGAGAGGAATCAAAAGTGAGGGTGTTGAGATGACAAATTGAGAGTGATGGGAAGAGGGAGAAGAGAGAGAGTAAAGGAGAATGCAAGATTGGGGTAATAGAACAAGGAAAAGCAAAGTGACATGGACTGTATGGTTGTATCCTTGGCTGCTTTTATATTTTCTTTTCGGGTAAATTACTCGGACCCCTATACTATGAGGTAGTGACAAAGACCCTTTGCACTTTTTTTTACGATAAAGATCCTTCCTGAACTTTGGCCGTTAGACAAAGACACAACTCCATTAGCATTCTAACTTGAAAAAAGATTCTCATTTGACTGTTTAAAATTTTATAATTGCCCGAACTATCATTTTCTAATTTATTTTACGGAAAAGTAGGCTCAATGCAGATTTCTGAATTCCACTGCAAGTCTATAAACAAACTGTCAAGTACCCACACTCACACTCTATGCATCAAAACCCGCAAATTGGCATCAATTTTGAACCGTCACCTACTCCAACAGTACTTTGGACTTAAATATTCTTGCCCTGGGCTGAAAGCTCCTCCTTACTGTCACGCCCCTATTCTTGAAATTGGTATAGACAACAAATGGACAATTCCAATGGACATTAAAGTTACAATAGTTCTCATTCAACCATTGGAGCTATAAATCGCCTGCTTGGGATCCCTACCCATCTCGCCGGAATCAGGCCTGGATCAATCGCCTACCCTCCAGGCAAATATGTCTTCCGGCAGATATATGGCTTACTCACCATTTCCATCTACCGCCCCTCTCTCTCCTGACTTCTCTAGCATTCGCTCTGCAACCAACGCTCTTATTGAGCAAGACAATCTCTGAGTTGCTGGCAGAGCCCCAGAAGCTTTACCCTTTTATATCTATGCTTCCACACAGCTATCGGTTGCTGAACCAGGAAATATTGCGTGTAAGCACACTGTTGGGGAATGCATCACTTTTAGATCAAAGTGGTCTTGAACATGCTAGCCCCCTTGCAGCTAGCCCTCTGACATCTGGAGGATTATTTTCAAATGGAGGAGCCAATATGAATGGTTGGGCATCGGCATTTCAATCGGAAAGAATAGGATTTATACAACCCTCATCTGGTCTTATTGTCAAGAAAACTATCAGGGTGGATATTCCTGTCGACAAATACCCCAATTACAACTTTGTTGGCCGCCTCCCTGGTCCTAGAGGGAATCTCTTTATCGGGTGGAGGCAAGCACCGAGTGTCATGTCCTTATTAGAGGACGTTTAGATCGAAGCATTTTCTGTTCTTCAGCATGAGAAGCAATCAAAATTGATTTCCTTCTATTTATTCAGGCATCTTTCAAATCTATCAGGATCCCTATGTTGATATTTTCTTTCTTTCTAAAGTGTTCAGACGAAAAGAAAAAGAGAAAAAGGTCATAAGATCGGGGTTCAGGATCCTCCTACTTGAAGAAGATTGAGGGAGAGGGAGAGGGGAGTTAGACACATACAGATGAGAACGTCACCAATGATTTGACAGTTCAGAGAAAAGGTATTATGTGGATGGTCTCTACTGCTTTGCAGTCATACTCTATGCAGCCCTCTCTTCTGAAAAAATACTGATTTTCATTTCACAATTTCGTCGGAGGAGGAACAATATGAAGAATCTCTTGTTTCAAAGATTTTACGATAGATAGCAGCTTCGGTGATTGTTGGAAAGATTTTACGATGGATAGAAGGCATTAGTTGCTACGATTTTATACTTCCAACAGCATCTTGGACTGAATGGTGAAGTGCTCCCATCAGTTGTTTCTGCAATTTGCCTCTTACTCCTTTCTAATGCCTCTAATTCTACAGGTACACGAATTGATTAACGGGGCACAAGAAGCGCAACACTGCTATGCGCTCCAAACCAGAAGAGATGGAGGACGTCACCAATGAA